ATGGATATTGACATCATTATAAAACAAACAGCCATATATGAATAAACATTTTTGCAATTATTTATTCCAGTGTGGATAAATATCTACTTTGATTCAAATCACACACATATATAGCCACGAGTTTAAGACATTCCCAGAAATAAATAAACAAATAAATAAATAGAATGTAATGTGACGGTAATGTCACAAATATCACTTCCGACATATTCCCCAAGTAAAGAACATATGTGTGTACCATCTGGAGGTTTCAGGTGCTTGGCAGCTGCCTGCAGCTGTTTCAGGTCCCAGGTGCAGGTCCTGAGGATGTTCAGCACCTCCTGACCATGGTCCATACTGGAGGGATAGCAAGATGTGTGTTACAGAAAAAAAGTTAGCTGAACAGCCCCTACCAAGTTCTCAACAGCCAAATGGCTCCAGTGTGCCACATAATGTAACTCAACACCACAGGGTGTCTGCTTCAGCACCAATTACTATGGTGACAGACGTCTGGTCCAGGCCATTGATGTTTTTTGTTTGGAGAAGAAGAAGAAATACAAATAGAGTAAAAACAAAAATCCCACCTCCTGTCACAGCTGGCCGTCACAGTCTCCTGATAGTGCCTTCGGGCAGACTCTAACAGTTCTTTGTACCTCTTGGACCCTTCCAGCTCTGACTGTGTATGTTAAAGGGATAAAGTAACAGTCAGTAAAGCTGTCATTCTCACCCTGAACTGTAGTTATAGTGCACATTTGGTATAAAAGACATGAGGAATAGCTTTCCAATTTTATCCTACTCTAGTCTACTAAGGCATCTAGCACTCTGCAACCATACTCAACAGGACTGGTACAATAATACATGCTACCCAAACAGAATCACAAACTCTAAACTTTGTCAGTTAAAATACATCTAGAACTTAAATAAAAAGGAAGATTCTTTAAGACAAAAAAAAGGCTGACCTGAAAGTAGCCCTTCTCTGTCAGAAATGCCAGGTATCTCTGCCATCGCACATCACTGATGTGGGAAGAACTTTCCTCAGAGTCTCCTGGACTTCTACAGCACAGGATCTCAAACCCACAGGCCTGGGGATAATACAAAATGGAAACAAATTATCATGAAAGTTCATCTGTGTTGGTAGTAATCATAGTAAATGGTTGAACATAAATAAGCGACCACTGTCGCCTTCATCAGGATAATTAATGAAGTGATTGGTCATTAATTATCCTGATGAAGGCGACAGTGGTCGCTGAAAATTTGATCCCTGTACACATTGTGTGTTGGAATAAAGTTCAAAAAAAGGAAACAAAATTAATCTTCTAGATTACAACATACTGTAAGACAGTTAAGTTTGTTAAAGCCCTCCCGCAACTATTGGCATGGTTGCATATATGGCAGCGCCCATCTCCGTTTTGTAGCCCTTGGGCCGCACAGTTGTGCAGTCACTACAGCGGGGGGCTAGTCCACTGGTAGTGGTATGTGTTTAACTCCCATACTATTTCTCAAAAGCTGACTGCCAAGTAGAGAAAGCAGGGGATCGAACTCACATCGTTTTGAATACAAGGCAAGCACTTGGCCATTGCACTGGTGAGATAAAAAATCTGTCTTACTGTCCTTTGCCAACCTTGCACAACCATATGAATCATATATTGTCTTGTATGTAGGTTTACTTTGTTGTATATGTCTACATGTTCAAGACTTACGAAAGTCAATGTACTTTTGTGTCAATAAAGTTGTATGATATAATGTGGCATCAAATTGCAAAGAGGTAAGGCTAGCAGGCATGAGACTGAGAGATCACAGGTTCGATTCTGGTCTTAAAACTCACCAGTTTAACACCCAGGTCCCATGCAGGGTGATCAGGGTGGGAGGGGGGCGGGAGTGTCCAGCCGCTGCGCTTGTCTGGTGTGAACCTCTGCTGCAGCAGCTGACTGTACAGGCATCGGGTGAACCGAACCTAGGAAATAAAACATCACAAAAACTGATGGTTATGTCAAATATTTGGTGAACTGAACCTGGGAAATAATGTCACAAAAACTCATCATTATGTGCAGCACAAGAAAGACTTCCTTACAATTATATTACTCAAGACCTGTTACCATTCTCATCAAAGTATACTTTCAGTACATATCTCAAGAAGTAGGAGTTTCTCCAAAACATGGAGAAGATGCAACAGAAAACATTACATCAAATATCTGGTGAACAGAACCTGGGAAATAATACATCACAAAAACTGATGGTTATGACTGGCACAAGCACCCATAGAAAATTATGGTATACATGTACTTACAATTATCAAAGGAAAGACTTTCTTATTACACAAAGCTTGTTACAGAGTCCCTTTCAGTACATTACTTAAGAAGTGACAAGACACAAAGGAAGTCACTAAGGGGCAGACAGATGTAATTAAATACTGGTGGGAGATCTTACCCGTGCCTTGACACAGGTGTCCGTAGGGAAGTGCTTCATGGTCCGACAAGCCTGCAGAAAACATGGAAAAGCCTCTTTAATACATTGTACCTGGTTAGATAACTTAATAGGAAAACTATGCCATATTTCATCTACACCTACAGAGCTGAGCAACACTGTTACAGAAACACTAATCACACCTTCATGTCCAGAGGGTCAACACATATATACACTCAATGCCAATAAATGTAAACGGTATTACATTTCTATGGGCTAAATGCATAAGTTCATCAGTTAGAATTAGATAAATCAACTAGAAGGGTAGGAAAACTATGTCATATTTCATCCATACTTACAAAGCTAATCTCCAAGCAGATCATACGGAGGCAAGGTAGTATCCATTGGCCAGAGAAGTGTCCTTTGCAATTGGCTAATGGACACTCCTCTAGCCAATGGGGTAACTGCCTTGCCACCATATGATCTGCTTGGAGATTGCAGTAACAGAACCACACCTTCGTGTCCAGAGGGTCCCTCTCATAGAATGCCTGCACAGCCGGTGCCACCAGACCAGGTGAGCGGTGCAGGACAGTCACCACCCCAGCAGGCAGGTAACAGTGGGCGTGGTGGAAGTTTGAACTCATCTTCTCAGGGTAGCTGTAGAGGAAAGCATCGGGAGTTACATGTACATGTACAGTTCCAGATCATAGATAACTACTGAGATCTGCCATAAAACAGTTACTCAAGCAACTGGATATGATTTTGGAAATGGTCAGACGTTTCAAGTACCAATTTTGTCTTCACTTATTTGCATATGAAACAATAGTTCTTTCTTACGTTATACACCATCTTTTCTGACAACTCTCCAGTGTCACTGACGAAAGGAACATGTAGTGGATACTACCTGAAACGTCTGACCGTTTCCAAAATCATATTTACTTGAGTTGTGTTTTGGCAGATCTCACTGCATGCTCCCTTGGTGGTTTATTTGGTGGCTATCGCACCTGACCAGCTAGGGATTATCTCACCATATACACCAAAGATAAGGCAGGGCATTAACCCTTTATTATTAGCCTCAATAAGGAGAATGAATGTACACTTTTCGAACCTGCCTATCCTGTTAATGATGGCGTCCTGCGTAGGTCTGCCTGCGACCGTGAGGCCGGGGTAGCGGGACACGATATCGAGCGCCTGCCGCAGCGAGGGAGTTCCCGCAGGAACACAGGCGATCTCTGCTGGGGAGCGAGGCTGGGGGATGATGTGCACCTGCCCATGGAACAGGAACACCTGTGCAGTGGGAATAGCAACATCAAGACACATTTAGTCTAATTCACATTTACAGTCGGGCTAACACAATCTTTTTCCTGAATCTGTACATTATTTTATATTCAATCTTGTTACTTGTAGCTTTATTTTGAGTGTAACTTCATCAGTGATTAATTTACACTTAAAATGAAGCTTCAAATAACAGCATTGAATTAGTTATGTAGAATCATCAGTGATTCTTTGTGTCAACAAGGATTCTGATGTCTAGCTGCTGAAGGTTGGCTGATGTAAACATTTCTGCATGTTTTCTTTCCATGATGGATTTTCTTCTAACAGAGAAAGTACCAGGCTACAGTTGACACCTTTACCTTAGGCACTGCCGCCTATGAATTCAAACTCATACTCCCATATAGCCTGGGTGCCATCCACTTCTTGTGCTCGCTAACCCAAAGCACATGCAGGCTAGGCTAACTCTCAGATACACCTGTGAAGAAAATAAAAGGTTTCTGACCCTGTTGTGACTGGTGTCGGGTGTCAGCCATCGGGGAAGGTGCTCCGCTGCCTCAATCAGCAGGAACTGCCCATCGTTGTCCTGGACTCTGTAGGGATGGAAGGGATACAGGTTACAAACAAACAAACAAACAAATGAACAAACAAATGGTTACAGATGTCATACATGGGGCTAAATACTAGTAGTTATGTTTACCTTCGCAGAAGGAAAACATATTGCGAGGGAAAACATATTGTTTTTGCTCTGTTCCGTTTTCTTCTTCTCCAATTAAAAAGGGTCAATGACCTGGACCAGATGGCTGTCACCGTGGTAACTGGTGCTGTTGGGTTAATACATTATGTAGCAAGTGGTGGGACAGAATTGTAGGGGCTGGTCACCATATGTCTTTGAATAAGAATAAACGGAGCAGTAGTTTATTGAGCTAAACCATGCGAAGGTAAACACCATGTATTTTCTTTGCAAATGTTATATTCTAATTACTAGAAGAACACTTATTTCAATGTGTGTTGGTTTCTTTTACATTTTGTATGTCCAAGAAATTGCACATTGTTTTTGCTCAGTTTCTTCTTCTCCAAGCAAAAAGTCTGGCCAGATGGCTGTCACCTGTTGTGTTGGATTACATTATGTAGCAAGTGGTAGGACATCTAGTTGTTAGTCCTAGCAAGGACTTAGTCCTAGTTACCATACCTTGCGATGAAGTCAGGAAACGAGGCAGTGATCTGTAACTTGTAAGTCTTAGTTATCATACCTTGCGATATAGTCAGGAAATGACGCTGTGATCTGCAGCAGCAGGTGGACTATAAACCACTCATCCTCTATGTTGTCTCCAAAATGGGTCCTACCATGCAGGTGTGGGGGGTGGTCACCTGGGGCAAGAATAGATCAGTATCAACTGGTTATATACTAGTATAATATAATGAAGATGTTCTGCTATGTTACAGTATGTAATATATAGCCTATAGCAACTGTGTTCCTCTTAACTTGTCTGGTGTGCTACACTAATGTCAACCTGGTCAAATATGACACTTAATTAAATAAAAAAAACTCGAAAAGTAGTTCATCATTCAATTACATTCATGATTCAATTATATTTGTGGCTCATGCAGGTGTTATATACAAAAGGTATGGTTGTTATGTGTACAATTATGTGGAATTTAAAAGGTGTAACGTTAAGGTTCAATGTACAGTTTACTATAATCACAAAACCCACTAATTATGCAGAATGTGGGACTATTCATTATCCACTGCCTTCAAAGAAGAAGTCGAACCCCTTAATAGCTAGAGTAGTAGTAGAAGTAGAGGTTTTTCCAGACAGATTGTTACCTGTCTCCTGTTTCTGCATACTTGACTGTACAAGCAATTAGCCTTCGGGCATGATTTTGCAAATAAACATTCTATAAACTTTTATAGTCGTATAGTAGTAGTCCACTGTATTCTGCTGCTGCAGCAGGTGGACTATAAACCTAATAAAACTTTCGTTCTAGTTTAACGTTAGTAGTAGAATGAATAGTTACTGACTTCGAAAAATGAATAGAGAAGAGTATTTATTTGATGATTAAAAAACTCCATTTTCTGGTCGCGACAGGATGTTATCAGTTTACACACTGGTTTACGTCATCGTCTAGAAATTTTGCCACTTGATAACAGAAGAGGGAGGGGGGACTCACCTTTCGCCTGTACTGCTCTCAAGTTAAACGGCTCTTTCTGCCAGATATAGTCAACTAACAGCGGACTGAGTTGGGCTAGGATCTTGTCTGCCTGTTCCTCTAGTCCTGAGCCGCCGTCGCCCTTCTCCTGCCCTGTTTTCCCCGGTACAGGGTAGAGGAAATACTCCACCACGTCTTCTTGACGTTCCAAAGCAGCCATGTTTTGTTTGGTGTAGCACACTTCAGTTCCGGGTCAAAGGTTGCCAGTTTGTACCATTGGTAAAAGTGGACATTTTCACATTTTTGAAGCAAAATAGCGAGCTAAAACTGCTTCAAAATGTCATGCACCAAATAAGAATTTTAGCATGTAAGTTGTAGTAACTTGAGTGCGTTGAAATGGCTGAATATTGGCTTTAAATCAACTCTACTCTACTCTACTCTTAAATTTTACGTGACACGAATGTTGGTGACCCGGAAGTAAACCTCAGAGTCACGAGGAAAGTGTGAAGTAACCAGAGGATCGGGGAGAAGGCTCAACAACAATTAATAGACGTTTTCCTTCAGAGTTTGTGAGGAAAGCTTAAAGCAGAAATGTTGAAGCCAAAAGCGCTGACACAGGTCCTGAGCCAGGCCAACACCGGAGGCGTGCAGTGTACTCTGTGAGTTCAGAATAACTTGTGTAGCCGCGGGACTGTAGCTTAGTACTAGTAGTAGAGATGGTTGTTTTCACAGTTTTGTATTTGGGGAGGGGGGTATGATCATCATATGATGCCTTGTAGATGAGTGTTTCCCATCTATATCTGTTCCTTTCTTTTGTTAGAGTTGACAAATCTCATATTTCTGAAATATCATATGTTCAAATTTCTTAATTATCACAATATCTTAAGTATATTTATGTAGCAAAATAAGAGAACAGAATAACTCGAAGGTTGACTCTGACTCCTAGTACTGCTCGCATTGCGTGTCAGCTCACAACCAGCGCACCAGCCGATTAGGCCAAAAGTTCCAGGACCCATTCGGCTGGGTAGTTAATGGCGTCTATACTAGTATACTTGTTGTTACATTTTTATAACTCCTTTTCTGTATTTCTTTTATGCCCTTCCAACAGCCTGTTGAACGGAGAAGGAGCGCTCCTGGCGTACTCAGGATACGGCGACAAGGACGCACGTGTCACTGCCGCCATCGCTAGTAACATCTGGGCCGCGTACGAGAAAAACGGGAGATCCGCGTTCAACGAAGACTGCTTAGAGTGTGTCCTGCTGGACTGTAAGGTCAGGATGAAGTATAATGTTGTTGTTGTTGTCCTTGTTTAATGTCTTTTAGACTAGTATATTGCTAGACAATGACAATGACAAGGACAATGAACTTTATTGCATGTTCACGCCCTACACGGGCCAAATGCACTTAAGTTAAATAACTTGGTAACAAGAATATATTGCTACACGTGGTCTCTTGGTGCTGGTTTACGCTTGGTTCAATTCAGAGTCTATTGTCTCTCGACTCTAGGTATTAATTTTAACAGTTGGTGTCTTGTGCTTGTGTGATGCTAGAAGTGTTAATGTACAAAATGTACATTTTAAATGTTCGGCGTATTTAATCAATATTACTTTCTTAGTGTTTTATCATAAAAAGGATGATTCCATGAATAAAACAGTCTTAACTGTCTGCATTTTTGGTAGACTTGGAAGTCCCAATCAAACTGTTGCCAATGTAACTAACAATGGTAATGTCTTTCTTGCTATTTTGTCTTTCATGTCTTTTTTCTGGCCTGCTGACCTATCCTTACAATGTTGTTCCCCTGTTTCTGTGTCCCCAGGATGGCCGAGTTGCGATCACACAGGTGGCAAACCTGCTGCTGTGTATCTATGCAGAGAAGGCTGTTGGCTTCGGCATGCTCAAGGCAAAGGTCTGATGTTTTTTTACGACTAAATTTTTGTCTCTAAAAATATTAGAAAATTTTTAACAAGATTTAACCAATTATAGAAAATTCTCTTCCATTCTTTGCACTTTTTTCACTGAGCACCTTTCTTTTTTGTACTTTCCTGGCCAAAGGTTTTTTTCTTCTTTTTGTCAACCACAGTTAAACAAAACACCATGCTTTCAACTGGACACTGACTTTGACAATGGCACATGCATAATTTCATGGTTGTCATGTACATGTTCTAGTGCTTAACTCTACATTACTTGTTTCCACACAGGCAAAGGCCCTGGCAGATTACCTGGAGGACCCACTGACACAAGTAGCAGCATCATAGCACCAACAATGGACTGAGTTGGAGATAACTCAATACATTTCGAGAAGTGGGGGGGGGGGGGGGGTAGTGGACTTCTATATACAACAAGAGAAACATAAATCCCTTCTCATGATGGCTTGTAATACGTAAGTTGTATGTTGTATATTAATAGCAAAGTTCTTCATTCGCATCCAATATTGTGGTATGTAACGTTGCCGATTCCTAAGAAATAGTGAATGGAACTATGAATAATTGAATCTGGAATGTCATTCAGAATAATTGACCTGTAACATTATATGTACTTGAGGATTCCTTGTATGGTATGAAAGTCATTGGGAATTGATGTATGATGTACAATTGTACATGTATATGAAGGTGTGTTAGTTATGATTATCAAACAAGTTGTTTACAATACATAATGGTAAATAAATAACAATCTTGTTAAAAACAATGAAATATTTGTCATTTCTCTTAGTCCAAGACCATTCATACACATGATGTTATGAAGAGGCAATGTCAAATGTGTTTCATGTAACGTTATTCATCTGTGATGATTCGAATCATGGGACAGATTAGCCGTGGACGACTCTGGTAATTCTTTTTGCATGATAATCCGGCATTATCATGCAAAAAGAATTACCAGAGTCATCCACGGCTAAGGACAGATGGGATCTGTGAATATGGCACAGTTATACCCGAAATAGAAAAGAGAAGACTTTCCTCACAGCCTCAAATTTAAGTTAATACAAGAGAGCTCAAAGGAAACCTTGAAAAACCAATTGCATGGCTTTAAAATACTCAAAATCTATGTCAAAACGAAGTTATGGGGACACTGCACTTTCAATATTGTTCGCTGGGGGCGCTGCTGTCAGGTGACATCACAAGACACCGAATAACCCAGATACCAATATACTATTACGCTGTACAAAAATAGTACCTAGCTCATGGTCTGGGCGCCTGGATTTTTCTGAAGAACAGTCAACTAGATAGCAATTCAACGGTTTAGCATTCTATTTGTGAAGTGATATGAGGGTACTAAATTCATAATTTTATAATTTTCGCGAAGGCAAAAACAGACTTTTAGTACCCGCGGATGAATATAGAATCGCCTTCGAGTGTTATTCTCCCGATTTCTCCGAACCATCACAGTGGCGGCGACTGTTGCTCTGAAGTTTTTGTCGTCCAATCTTCGGAAAACCGCGTTTAGGACGACTTTTCTAGCCTCACGAAAGTTTTGCGACTACAGTGATCAGGAAAACGCAATGTCTGGAAGGTATGACAGAGGAGACAGCGGCAGAAGAGGGTAAGAAAGTGGTCAATTTTCTTGCTGGTGGATTTTTCTCCCGCTGAAAAGTGAAAAGCAACTGCGTATTTGGAGAATTTCACCTCGAAAATTGTCTAATTTCTGCTCGAAAAGCTGTGATACGACAGTGACAACGGTTTTAGATTGATGTAAATCATATTTCCTGTCGTATGGAATAGTTCAAATGGTCAGATACACACACTTTCGTGAGAAAAATGTCGAAAAAGAAAAGGAAAACTGGAAAAATAAAGATCCAAGATGGCGGTCGGTCTGAGTTCTATCGTTTGATTTATGACGTAATGGTTTAGTGTTTGTCTATATCATAAAGTAAACAAACGAATATTATCAAAACATGAAGCCAAACTCTGCTTTCCATGGTTACAAATTAATCGCTGGTGTTTAAGTTGTCCTGCAGTTATGTATAATATGTGGGTCACTGTAAATATGGGCGTATCTGTGTCAGCTGTCAGATTCAGCTGTAAATGTATGTATTGTTGCTTTTCAGAATTTAAAAATATCACAGCACAGCCAAATTAAAGCAAAGAATCCAGACAATGCTGTCGATTACATATTATAGATCTTGTTATTAAAGACAAATGTCCACCAGTAGGTGCATCGTAACTGCACCCACAGCCAAAGATGAGGTCTTTGGCTCCAATTTTGGGTGCAGAAAAGTGCACACGCACCCAGCATGTCCAGCCCAGTGCACCAAAGAATTGAAAGATTGAGTGTAACAAGTCGTTCGGTGTAATTTAGCCAGCTGCCGCTGCGCTATGTGCCTGCGAAGCTGGTGTGTTACACAGAAGAGCAGTTATACCTGCTATACAGATGCAGATACAAAGCTCCTTCCATCCCCCGCAGGTATGGCAGCCGTGGCAGCAGCCCTCCGAGGTTCGGGCGCGGTGGGGACCGCGGTGGCGGCGGCGGCAGGCCGGGGTTCGGATCGGGTTACAATATCGGCGGGGGCAGCCGGCCGAGCCTGAAGGGGTCCCAGCCGGGCGAGAGACTCCGCAAACCCAAGTGGGACCTGTCCAAGCTGCCGCGCTTCGAGAAGAACTTCTACAGGGAGCATCCCAACGTCTCCAACATGTCACAGGTGTGTGTTAACTCTGTGTGTGTGTTTGTGTGTGTGTTTGTGTGTGTGCTGAATATATCTTGTCTTTACCAGATCCTTATCTAATTCATTAAGTAGTGTCACTTATTTATGTCCATATTCTGTTTGTTTGAAAAGAAATTACGAGATAAATTTTGATGTCTCCAATTCCATGATTTCACTAACTACTAGTGTGAAAGTTCTATAAAATTGGCTTCATGGATCATCTAACAAGAAAATGAACAAGAAATGTTCCCTGTGGCCTGTCATGATTTTACATTACTCAAGCCTGATTGATTACATAGCCATTTTAAAAGCACCTCAGGTGTCATTAAGGTGTTATTGTTTCAGATTAGTGAGCACAGACTACAATTGCCCCCTGTAAATCAAACAAGTTGTTTTCCTTGTGCTTCCCCAGGCTTCAGCAGAACAGTACCTGGCCCAGAGACAGATCACCGTGCGAGGCCGAGAGGTGCCCAAACCTGTCACCACCTTCGCTGAAGGCTCCTTCCCTGGTTAGTAACATTAACACTGCTCTTGTGTATGGGGAAGACTTAGGCCTAGGAGAAGAAATTATTTCCAGTTTCCCGACCAAGCAAAATCCTGCCGACCTTAGCCCTTTTTTCAGCCCTTTTTACCTGAATTTCTAACCTTTGAAAAGACTTTGCAGAAGTGATTTTTCATTGTGTAAAGTGTTGCCTACCCGTATCGGTATAGCTGGTATGTCTGCTCTTCTGCATAACACACCAGCTTCACAGGCACGCGGAGCACTGGCAGCTGGCTCTATAACACCGAACGACTTTTTACACTCAATCTTTGCACATTTACTGCAGGAGTTGTTTAAGACTTTATTAGCTTGCTAGTGATGATGCCCCAACTCTGTACTTGGCACTGTTCAATAGTGCTTGAAAAATACAACCTCAATTCTTGGTTGATAACTCTTGGTTGATTTGAAGGCATGATTGTTTCTTTAGTTGACTAAAGTTGATTGTCTCCCAGATTACGTGATGGAGGAGATTGCTCGCTCCAACTTCGAGTTCCCGACCCCGATCCAGGCGCAGGGCTGGCCCGTCGCTCTGTCTGGGAAGGACCTGGTGGGGATCGCACAGACCGGATCAGGGAAAACTCTCGCTGTGAGTAAAAACTACTATTCTGTAAATCTGCATCTGTGTAGCCAGTATAACCACCTTTGGCATAACACACCAGCCTGTATCTGTATAGCCGGTATAACTGCCCTTCGGCGTAACACACCAGCTGTAAAACTGCCTGGTAGGTAGGCCTGACAAGTAGGCCAGCCTGGAATTTTTTCTTTGTCTCACTTTTGTTCGATATAACATCATGTTGACCGCCCAAGGCACCAGGTATTCTACCAGAGGCATGACAATCCTTGGGGATCCAGGGGCATGCAATTTTCTGCATTTTCAGGGTCAGATTTTGCTGGTAGACTAAGCTTAGTGTAACAGCATTTCTTTCCATGTCTAATAACACAATGATTTCTTCCTCAGTACATGCTGCCAGCCATTGTCCACATCAACCACCAGCCATTCCTGGAGAGGGGAGACGGACCCATCGTGAGTTCAAATCTAGTACAGTAAACTTAACCAGAGTTTAACAGCAAATAGTAGAGCATACCGGAATCCATGACCCAGATTTTTATGGTTTCGTTGGATGTTTGGTCAACTTCGCATCAGACTTTTGCCTGTTGCAGAAATTATCTTTGGCCAACACAACATTTGCAAACTATAGATGGGATATCATCCTTAATTTAAATACATCAATGCAATCTTAAAGAACTTTATTGACACAACAAAAATACAGCGACTTTCATAAGGTCTTTAATTAGACATACAGACACACACAATGACAATTCTGACAATGGTGGGAAAAGTGAGGGGAAGGGGGTGGTTGTAGCATACTGCACCCGTGTTTCACCATCGTGCCAATCTCTGTGTCACACAATCAGTATGTTGTGCTCTACACAAATTTTGACAGATTAGCTTAAGAGGCTGAGTGGTTGTCACTCCACAAATACAACCTTAAATGAGACATTCTGACAGGGAAGGGGGGGGGGGGTAGTAGCACACTGCACCCATACAGTATGTCACCGTTGTGTCTCACACACCCAGTGTGTTGTGCTCTGCCCGACACGCGAGCTGGCCCAGCAAGTCCAGGAGGTGGCCGTCCAGTTTGGACACTCCTCGCGCATCAAGAACACGTGCGTGTACGGCGGAGCGCCGAAAGGCCCCCAGCTCCGAGACTTGGAACGGGGTAAGCAAGCACGACAGTGTTTGCCTGCAGGGCTCGAAATACCCAACTGCATATGCACTGGTTAATAAAATTGGAGCTGCGCAGGTATTTCTGATGTCTACCTGCACCTAGCCTGCACTGGTCCATGTACTGGGTATATGCAGGTTAGTGTAGGTAAAATTGGAGCTGTGCAGGTATTTCTGTTGTTAACCTGTACCTAACCTGCACTGGAACATGAAATTGGATAAAATTGGAGCTGTGCAGGCATTTCTGATGTCTACCTGTACCTAAGCTGCACTGGAACATGAAAAAATTGCCTTCGTGGTCCAAAACTGCCTTGCATTCTTCAAAGTAGCATCATTGAAACAGCAGATAACTACAAAGTATCATCATTGAAACAGCAGAAAACTGCAAAACAGAACTAGAAACATGGTGCTACTAGTAACGACGCCCCTGGAAGAAAACACCGCCGCCACGTCGAGCACAAGGAAGACACTGAAGATACCTTTGCCGTGAGCCAGTGCGCCACCACATCGCTGCCCACCACTACCAAGAAAAGGAGAACCCTGAGATTTCTACGTGTTGTTCAAGCCCCACAAGTTGCTGAGAAGCCAGAGCTACAAGCCAGAGCAAGAAAAACAGCCAGGGGAGAAGACTACACTTCGAAGAAGATGGATTTCTCTTTATTTTTCGTTTTGTGTAACATGGTAAACAAGACCTTTATGACATTTGTAATTGTTCTAGAACAATAGATGACGTCATGTAAGAGGTCAACCAAGGTCAAAACGAACCATGTAACAGGTTAGGGCATTCTGAACGCCATGTAACTGACCTGAGGGCACTATGCACTGGAAAGGTGTATAAGTGAGAACTTCATGCACTTGTGTCATTAGCCTCTGTACACTTGAAGAAGCCACACAGGCGAAACCGGTCGTGTGACAGGCTGAATAAAAGTTCTAAACGGGAACTATGCGGCTCCAGATGTCTTACTGAGGGACGACTGCGTGTGCAAGATGTCGGTAGCTTGAGGAATGAATCCCCTCTACTATATGGTGCTACTAGTAACGTTTTTTTCAGAACATCTCAACTTTTGGATGAACTGAAAAGCAAGCAAAGAAACTTGCAGTGCAGGTAAAACTTGTCAGGTGCAAGTAATTTTGAATGTTGCCTTCACCAGTGTTAGCCCACTGTTAACCAGTCTCAAAAGACTTAATCTCTTAACTGTGGAAGCAACAGGACAGCTCAGTTCCAAATCTTACAAGTCAAATTTTACCAGTCACCAGTGCATGTATGCAGGAAACAGTACTTCGAGCCCTGGTGTGTGTGTGTGCTGCGCTTCTCTCTCTGCTAGCTGACGCGTGTGGCTTCTGTTGATATTTTACCCACTCAGTGCCTGGTGCTGGCCCCAACTCGTGAGCTAGCTCAACAGGTACAGGCGACGGCGGCAAAGTTTGGCATGTCTTCCCGCTTGAGGAGCACCTGTGTTTTTGGCGGGGCACCGAAAGGACCACAGATAAGGGACCTGGAGAGGGGTGAGTAGGGTGCCGTCTTCAGGTTTGGATTCTCCGTTTGGCACCCTGGTACATGTACCTGCATGGTGAAGCGGTCTTTGTTTTATGTGTTCTTCTAGTCCTTAATAACACTAGCTGATGCAGCTGGCTGCTGACCACGACTCACACATGCACATACTCACACTTAATGTAGGATTCGGTCTTTGAAAGCATTCATGAAATGAAATGACTTGTAAAAAA